CTAACTCATCCATATCTTGAAGGGCCCACCCCAACTCAGCTTATAAAGCCTGATAAGATCACAGTCTCAGTAAAGCAACCACCTGGTTAATTCACATGGCAAATTTTAATATGTTTTTCTTAGGATTATCAGGTTTCCCCTCACCAACTTCAGTAAGCAAATAAAATATCCTTTCATAAAGATAAAAGTTAATGAACCACAACAGAAAGAAATAACAAAACAAAACAAAAAAAAAAAAAATGGAGGCCAGAAGCCAAAGAAAACATGATCTTAGTTTTTTATATTGTTTGAAGTTGAACCATCTAGGACTATTCTCAGCACATTGCCTTCTTTAATCCAAATGGCTTCCTTTTAAAACTACCCCTCCTGGCCTCCTGGAAACTTTAATATCTATTAAAGTAATGCCTAACTAAGATGTCATTATAATAATCACATAGTAGGAAGCTAGATGACAGCTACTCCTCAGATATCCCCAGTGAGAATGCAGAAGTTGTGATTTTACATACGTGGGAATGAATGGCCCTTGGGTTCTGAAAAAGGCGAGGTCAAAAGGTGATGTCAACATCCATAAATGGAAAAGATCAAATCAACTTACATGAGAAAATCTCAGGAAGGCTCAAGACCATATTGAAATATCACAGGAATGTAAAGGAACAAAAATAAGCTAAAACTCATTTCTAAAATTCCATCTTAAAAAAGTTAAAATGAAAAAAGTTTCTCATATAATAAATAAAATTTAAAAATGCTGTCACTATCTACTCACCTGATTTGGAGAAGACAAAAATCGGAACTGTGGGAACCCACCATCTCAGATGGGAAAGTCACTTGCCAATACCTACCCTACGTCTCTAATTCACCTAATTAGAAGCAACTATATTAACACAAATAAAAAGAGCAAAACTTCTGAGCTTAAGTACTGAGAAACATCTAAGTCAGACAGTCCTAATGTGGTCCTCTGGTCCATATTTAGAGATCACATGTTTTGGTTTTAATTAAAACAAAATTCATACTCTTAGCCCAGCAGTGAGGTCAATTTAACTTTGGATCAATTTCTAACCATTCCTCAACTGTCACCTATGAAGTAAGAATGCTATCAAGAAATGCTGAGCTGGCCTATGAACACCATTTAGGAGCCACTTGTGGGTTATGTCTATTATCATCCACAATCCATGGTCTTTTCATTTTTGCACCCAAAATTAAAAATACACGCACACACACACACACACACACACACACACACACACACACACTGAAATTATATATATATATATATATATATATGTCAGTTTGAAAACAATGATCTCATGTCCTTCCTTGAATCATGACTAACACTCTACTGAGATCTGGATATTGCAGTAGTCTTGGTTCCCCATGCTGATATCATACTAGCTTGCAGTTCACAGCTTAAGACTGTATCTATCTACCTACTCTCTGCCCATTTCAGCTGTTCAATCCCTCAAGCTCAGTTACTCAGAGCATCTACCACTACGTGTATTCTGGACACACAACTGCAAGTTGACAAAGATGAGTGAGGAGAACAGAAGAGCCATCACACTGAGTTTTATAGCATCTACCATGATTTCTTCAAGACTTCTGTTTGGCTGATGACCACACTGGCACCTCATTTAAGTAGATCCTTAATAAGATGCTGTACCTACTGCAAACTGACTAAAACACAATCCAGCTATATGAAAGGCAAAAGTGGCTGAACATAATTTTGTATCTCTGAGACAGAAATATTTAGGCAAAACAAACTCATTTACCTAAGATTAAGAAAGTCTTAACAACTGGAACGGTTTCAAATTATTTTGAGGGGCTGAGATCAGATTCAGTATAGTAATGTAAGGCACTATAAAGTAGTGGTCTGGAGCCAGATTTTCTGGGTAGAAATCTTGGCTCTTTGTTAGCTATATTCCCATAGACAAGTTACTTAACCTCCCTGTGACTTTAGATTCCTATCGGTAAACTGGGGATAACAACACCTCACAGGGCTGTTATGATTAAATGAAAAACACTACAAAGGGTTCTATCGAATGTATTAGTAGTTAGTTGTTGTTGCTGTTGTTCTTACCCACAAGTACTAAGAGTTACTCCAGTGTTATTTCATGGGAAAAGTGAAACAAGACTGATTTAGCTCATATTTGCTAAAACTTGATTTAGCCTTGATTCGTGCATCAGAATTAGTAGGCACATGCAATTATTAATTGTGTGGCATTGTTATTACCTGTGTTGAAAATGCTTGTATGTTGATCAGCTGTGGCTCAGAGAAGAACTGCTGGTCACTAATTTTCAGGGAAAAGTAACCTTTCCTAAAAGAAGTGCCCAAGAAAGGAATGAGAAAATGCAGTCATTAGTCTCTAGCTAAACAAAGAATAAAAATATTTTCAGGTTATGTGCATGTAAGAATTAGGATCAAACCACTACAGTGATATAATATTCATCCTGTAAATAAAAATAACCAGATGAAGATGAATATAGGGCCATACAGGTAAAACTACTGGGTATCTCTTGATCTCAATATAACAATTACATAAACTTTATTTTAGATTTCTCTAAAATAAATATATACATAGTTGAAAAATCAGTTGTTAGCCCAAGACAGGTTAGTAATATAGTGATGGCTAATGGTTAAATTGGAGAATGCAAAGGAACTTATCATAGTCCCTGATTAGCTCTCAATGATTCCCTCTTCCCTACAGACCCTCTCTCCAACCTGTTCTCAAATCATGTGAGTGGGCCCGTGTGAAGGATTTTGCAATGTTTTGTATTACATGACTCTATTTACCTGCCTCCCCCACTCCAGCCACACACATACACATTCAATGTGGACTGGACTAGGTAAAGATGGCTGATTATTCTCTGGAAATTTGCAACTGGCCTGAGAGCTCCCATTTGACTATGCAGAAGCCATCGTCTACCAAGCCTGCCTGTAGGAAGGAGATATATTAAGCCTTGGAGCAAAGAGCCACAGAGACAAGAGGAAGAATTGAGTCCTGCTTTCCATTCCCGGTTCTAGCTTCTAGGCTCACCCTGGAAGCCCAGTTGCCCTTGTTGTGTTAAAGAGCTGAGCCATGCCTGCAATGTTATAACAAGCCTTACAATTTTGCTGAATCTAGTTCAAGCTAACTTTCATTACCTGCAATGAAACAGTACTAATTAATGAAACAAAATAAGGTTGATTCTTTGCTGTGGTTTTTACTTCCTGTAAGAGTGTTGTTCCAGCAGCTTCAGAGACAACTGGTAGGGAAGGTAGGAGTTACCCACTTTCAAAGCCAAACCAAGCACAGAACTCATGGGAGGCTGTTAAGATATGTGATTAATGCACTATGAGCAGTTTTGAATTCTGGTTGACTATAGGGACCATTATTTTAAAGGTTCTTCAAAAGGTATTTTTGAAATTAACTACTGAAACATGAAATAATGTGGATGGATCTCAAAAGCATTATGGCAAAAACCAGAAACATACTGTATGACTCCATTCACATGACATTTCAGTAAAGGCAAAACTGTAAGAGTAACAAACAGATTAGTGGTTGCTACGGACTGGCAGGAAGGGAGTAGCAGCAAAATGGAGATTTTCAGGGGGAGGGGGTGACGAAACTGTTTATATCTTGATTGCAGTTGTAGTCTTGAGACTGTAAGAATATATGCATTAGTTGATACTCCTAGAACAGTACACTTTAAGATGGGGAATTTTGTTGAACCCAAATTATATCTCAATAAACCTGATTTGTTTTTAAAGAAGTAAATCTTGCCTTCCCTCCTGTTTCATCCTCCCCTTGAAGTTCCAACCCATTTAAATCCTGGCTCTCTTCACTCCCAGCTCCAAACTTCCAGAGAAAGCAAATGATGGAAGCAACAGAAAGAAGGAGGCAGGTGTGGTTACTCCCAATGTACTGGGGAAAAATGACTTTTTGGTAGCACTGAGGTCCCAATAACTGCTTAGGATCCCAGAATGCCAACTTGCCATGGCCACTATGGCCATATTTGCAGGTTGTCTTGTACTCCACAGGAGCATTCTGACCCCAAAGGAATCTAGTCCTAAAGAATCATGGTCAGATTTTCATGAGGAAAAAAACAAAATCATAAACCTATGTGGCAAGTTGCCCCTTTTGTTTTTGTATCACTCCACAACTTACAGAATTTCCTTTTTTTCATGAATTACTACCAATCTTGTTTTGCTATTTTCTCATTCTTTCTTTCGTTTAAATTTTTAGATGAAGAAAATCCAATGCTAAAATGGGTACACTAAGAATAAAAACAGTGCTGCAAGAATTCCCTGAAAAATTGTTGCCATTCTTTGTCCCACTTAGGGCTGCAGAGCTGACTCTGGAAGAAAACACGTGATGATAGATTGAAGAGGTGGAATAGACATGAGGGTTGACTTTGGTTGTCTGGGGAGCTTTATGAACTTTACTCACTTTTCACAAGACATTCAAAGGCAAAACACTACAGGTATGGACGTTGTGTGTGTGCGCGTGTGCACACGTGCATGCCTCTGTGTGTGTGTGATGCAAACAATTAAGAACTACACTTAAAGCAAAATGAATGCAGGACATGGTGTATAAATCTGAAGAGTGAGTCTATGGCATCAGATAACTGAGTCTGAAGCCCCACCCTTGTAGCAGTATTTCTCTATACAATGATCATTTGCCCCTTGCAGATGGAAGTGTGTCCATTATTCCTAGTATTATTAGGAAGGCAGAAATCAGTGGCTAAAGGCATGGGTTGTGGAGTTGGGGAACCAGCTGTTGATTGGAGACTTGGCTTTGATTATACTCTCGAGGACTGTTTCCCTATCTGTAGACTAGGAACATAAATATACATAGTTCACACGAAGTGTTTAACACAATGCCTGCGTCAAAGTCAGCACTCAGTAAATATTAGTTATTCTTATTCCTTTGAGATGGTCTTCAGAGGTTCTGGCTTTGAAATGGAATAGAGAAAGGGCCATTTGCTTTTCTCCCCACCTATCTCCTAACCAAAACCTTAAAATAATAATAAAAAAAAATCTCTAGTGTTGACAGTAGAAAATATTCACTGTGAATATTTCGGCCCATTTTTAACATATACAGTCTACTCTGAATTATCTGCACTAATGAAGCAGAGCAGGATGAAGGATAATCCATGAGGCTAATCTTTGGGGTGCATTCTCTGATTTCTGTTTAGCAGATTTACTCTGCTAATTATATGACTCTATTTTCTTGGGTTAATGTTAACATTCAATTGCATTCCTGAAGCATATGTCAGCTGGGGTGAGGAAGACAGCCAGAAGTGTGCTAGGAATCAGAGGAAAACTAGATCAGGCTTAAAAATTAACCACAATTAATCCCATAAAGTGGATAATAAAAAGTTGTGACTCTTAGCTTCCTTCCAACTCTGAAATTCTAGGAACCATATAACACTTTTAAAAGTATGTGCTCCATCTTCTAGTCACTCCTCACTCCCAGTATATTACCTTAATGTTGAAGAAGCAGCTGTAGCAATCTGGGTAGATAACCAGTTTTGTTTCTGCTGGGCCAAAAAACTGGGTAATTGTACTAGGAACTTTCCTGTCACATCAGAGAATTACCCATAATTATGTGATAAAATGAAAACGCCTCTAACAGAAGCACACTCTCTGAGCAATTACAGTGAAATGATGACAGGCAGCTGAAAGCGATGGCGTTTGTGGAGTATCGATCTTCCTCAGAAGAGAGGGGATAGCTATTGAGAAGCGGGGGCGGGGGCGCAAAGCACCGATGGAAAGGATGCAGGAGGAAAACAACAGAACACTGAGTCACCTGGGTTTTTCTTTGCTGTGCACAAAACGCACTTTTTTCTCATTCACATCTTTCCAGCTAAAATGGCCAGCCTTGTCGAGCTGAACCTCTTTTCCGTTCCTTGAGAGCACTAGCTGACCATTGGTGGGAGTGCTCACAACATGGAACTGGAGGTCTTCCACCCTGCCATCCTGATCCTGGACATTCAGAAGGGGAAAATCCAGTGGCTTCATGGAACCAATTGCAAG